GCGCATCGTCTTCTATGAAGAAAATTGGGTCTTCCGTCTTCGGTTGCTTTGGGGGGTTCTGCTCTTCTCGGGTGGCCTCACGAACTGATGTCCGAGCTGTTGCTGAAGTGCAACCCGCAACAATCGAAACTCAAATTATCATGTGGATGGTCCCCCGAACTGGTCTCTCCTCCGGAGGCTGCCTCTGCGGTTGTTCAGCCGGCCTACTGCTGGACTCGGGAGCATCTTTACCGTGCTCCCCTTGCCGACCTGCTCTATTACTATTGTTATTATTATTTTGTACAAAGTTTCTCAAATATCCGCGACGGATGAGCTCCTCTATCTCGTCGCGGAGGTTTTTACAACTCTCGGTACTATGACCGTGATCTTTGTGAAAACTGCAATACAGACTCTTATTTCTTTCATTGGGATTCCCCCTCAAACGGGGTGGCCACTTCACGTACGGGGCGTCCTTGATCGCCATCAGGATTTCGGCTCACTTCGCATTCAGTGGGGTGTAATCAGCTCGGTCCGCTACAGGAGCTCGGAACAATTGACCCGGCTTTGCCCCCCGAACTGTTTCCTTTTTCTTTCGACTGTCCCCTTGACTGGAAGGCTCTCCTATTCTCTTTCTATTTTTGGGTGCGCCCTCGCCCTTCTGGTTGATCTCCTCTTCGGTGGCTATGAACTTGTCCGCAAGATTCAGAAACTCGATTATGGTCGCGGGCTGGTTGACGACCATGTGCCATTTGAACTCTTTGTGTGTCACGCCCTTCTTGGCTGCTGCAAGGCGTACGGTGGGGTCCAGACGCGGTATCTGCATACAGGCATCGTTGAACCGTTTGATATAGCCCCGGATGGACTCTCCTTCTCTCTTCACTATGCTGAGGAGGCTTTCTTCAGTTCGCGGGCACCGTTTGCTGGTGACGAAGTGGGACGTGAAGGTTTGTGGGAACTGCACCCAACTTCTTATTGACCCAGGTGCCAAATTCCGGTACCACGTGCGAGCGGCTCCTCTAAAAGTGATGGAGAAAGCCACACACATGCATGACTCACTGGCTCTTGCCAGGTGCATCTGTGACTGAAAGACATTTACATGATCATTCGGGTCAAACGACCCGTCGTACTTGTCAAGAGAGGGGAGCTTGAAGTCTTTGGGCATCAGGACTACCAGGAGTTCGGAAGACAGGGGGGATGGAACTGAGAGGAGGGGAACTTTGACCTCAGCCGAGCTTACCTCTTCTTTGCCCATGAGCTCGGGCAAACCGCGAGTGACGGATCGGTGAGCTCGACGGTGGCGTCTCTGCCTCTTGGTGGGCTCGGCGTTCGCGCTGCTCACCTCTGCGCTGTCCGGAATGGTTTGCGCAGGAAGTAGCCCAGTCTGCTGGTGATGGCTATGGACAGAGGGGTCCTGCTTGGAGTCTGTCGCCAGGATCTTGAACCGGTTTTCAAGGATCGGGGTTCCAAACTTCGACTGTTGAGGTGATGTAGACCTACCGAGCTGGGGTCCTCCCGACCTGTCCACCTGCGGCGAGATCAGGGTAGCCGGTCTCTCTCGTCTACCGCGGGGGGAGGCCTGATATTTTGGGAGATTTTGGGGGGCCTCTCCTTGGCCGGAGTGGCGGCGAGACTTGGCTTGCTGCGAGGCTAGGCGTTGAGGTGGGAGCTGAGGCTGCTGAAGCTGGGGTTGAAGCAGCTGGGGGAACTGCTACTGATACTGATACTGGGAGACCTGGTGCAGTACGTGTTGTTGATAGAGCTGAAGTTGTTGGAACTGTTGCATTTGAGCCTGCATGGCCCGCATGCATTGCATCAAGTCCTCCAGTTGGTTCGGGCTGGCCGCTGGGGGCACGATCGAAGGTTCGGTGAACGTCGTTCCGACTGTAGCAGGGAGTAGAGCGATGACAGGTGCCACTATGAGAGGCACATTCAAGCTGGGGATTCCGTCCGCTAAGAGGGGGACGGTGAACTGTCCGATACAGACAGTAGGAAGCTGGGGTTGTTCCCTGGAGTTATCCATTTTCGTGCTTCGTCCGACGTTGCTAGAGGAAGCCATGAGCGTTGGATTGTTTCAAGGAGGGAAAGAACTAAAAGAGTTTAGAGAGAAAGGCCTTTTGAAGCGTTTTACCACAGACGACGCCAAATGATGTAGCGCAATCCGGTCACTCCTAGCTGGCACTCGTGTGGCAGCTGAGAGGTACCTGAAATGAGAGGAAAGAGGAAGAACTCCCGGGGGGTTTCCCGGCGGGAACGCTCCGATGCTTAAGTTAGTATTATGTGCAAGAAGCTGAAGAAAAACGAAGGCTAAGAGTGCAGGCCTTCTGACCTCTAACAGGGCAGGTATAACTGCCACTGTCAGTCTGCCACAGCCGTTACAAGCAAGGCTGAGGTGGCACGCGCGGGGCCGTCGTTGTAGGGTACGTATTTGTCAGGTGTGGGACGCCTTTCTAAAGGTGGCAGGCGCAGCGAGGGGGACATGCCTGCTGTCCACAGGTTTGTCGGGTATGGCGGTCGGGCAGAAAGCCCTCCTGTGGTATACCGAACTGCTCTCCTGTGAATTACCCTGAGTCGGGCTGTCCTTTGAGTGACGGGCCGCCTGTGGCTGGTTATGCCGAGCTAGCCGACCCGAGGTGTTTGTGCCTCGAGGCGTCCGGAGAAGAATCGGTGTGTTTTTGCCTGGGAGTGACCCGAGGTCCATTGGGAGGAGCTCGGGTCTCAAAAGAGGTCAAGGTGCCCCGAACTTGGGACCCCCTGAAGTGCCTTAACCCCGAGGAGGAGGTGCGGGCAAGGCGACTTTCGACGAGTAGTTTACTTGCCGAGTTGTCGTGCTGAACTCGACGGGACTTTCCCTCCAAGTTGTACTCACGTTCGTTGCGCTGTCATGGTGAGCCACTCTTTCGAATAAGGTCACGCCCATCAATAAGGATAACTGAAAAAATACTTATATTTTTTGTATTTCTTTATTTGAATTGTTATATTTTTTTCTTTTAATAATTTATTATTTTTTTTAAATAATCGGATCAAATCAAATTCAGATGTCCAACATTCTTATTGGATTCGAATTCAAATCAATGGTTACGTGATCCAGATTTTATGGGATGAAATTCAGATTCAAATTCAATCCGATCGCTTTACATTCCTTCCAAGTCAATTTTTGAAACCTTAATTACCATAAATGATAAACCGTGTGAGCCCTAATGTTTTCATTAGGGGTTGAATCGAAAATTGGAGCCTTATGGCTGAATCATCACTCTTCCATGATCTCCCAGTTGGCACCCAGTTCCACGTGGCACAAACCAATGTCTTAACAAGGTCTAAAACGTAGAGGGACAAAACAGATAGCTCCTTTTCATTTTCTTGGTTTTGTAGGTTGGTCAGTAATGGAGGTTGTTACAAAAGGCAGCAGAAACCGTACTTGGGTCTCATATAACAAGACGTTTAGGATAGGGCGTAAAAATGTTGCCCAAGAGAAGACAACGGTCTCGATTCGCAGGCTTTCAGACGGCCGGGACCACCACCACCACCACCGCAACCATCACCACCACCTCTCTCGTGTGATCGTGTCTTTACGAGGACGGACGTGAAACACATTTACTTCTCCCCTCCACCACGCCGTTCCGGTTCCCTTGCTAGGGAGTAGGGACCACATCCACGTGGGTCCCACCAAGATTTTAGAAATACAAAAAGTGATTCGTTACGGTACATCCACGCTTAACTTAATTCGATACTACCGCTGGGTTTATTTTCTTTCTGAAACGGGTTCTTGTAGTTGGAGCCTTGGAGGGGATCAAGCGCTACGGCGAGACTGGAGCCCACCTCTACAAATATGGCGGGTGGGACCCATAAAAACGCACTGCATCTACAAGTCAACAAGACAAGGTTGGACATACTTCTTCGTGGTCCCACCCCTGTCTGTTGGGTGAGGAGTCTAATAGAGTTGCTTAAGCTCGTGTAGCAGCACTCCACGCAGGAAACGGGCCTACAAAAGGATGAGGAGATCAGACGGCCGTGATCATGTAGCACGTTTAAATAGTCAAAGTCAAGCAATGAATATGGGGCCAATTTATATGCTAGCCGTAGGAGGAGTTTAGTGTTGACTCACACTGTACTCCGGATTCTATTGTCTAGACTCTAAACTCAATACAAAAAAAAAAAAAAAAAAAATCTGGCTTTCCTTGATTATGATATGACTGATCATTCCCCTGTCCTTCGTTTCTGTGGAAAATTTGACATCTCCCTTAAACTTCTCCGTTATCTAGGCTTCTTCATTTGGTAATTACCGATTCCTTTCTCAATTCTTCGTAAAGAATTTTTCCAGTGCTTGACAATTCTTCCTGTTTCTAGCAACGATTTTTTTTTTTGAAAAGTTTTGTCTTCTCTGGTTCTCATTTCTGTAATTAAGTAATTAACCCCGCTTTGCTTGCATATTGGAAGTCATGGATGACTAATTGTTGCCTGGAGAGTGAACACAGAGACCGATTTTGAGGTTGGTGTAATTGAAAATGGCGGGAAACCGGAGGAGGGATTTATATGTGAAAGAAGCCGTAGAATTCTTCAACCATTTAATGGGTGAAAGGCCTCTGTTTCCTTTTCTGGTTCCCTTGGTAATGCTCGCTTTGGCTGTTGAACGATGGATCTTGCCGTTGTCGAATTGGGTCCTTCTCGCTGTCGCTGTCTGGGCAACTGTTCAGGTGTGTTCTTTTGTGAATTCATTTATTCCTTACCGAATTGAGTTGCTCTCTGGTATTTTTCCAACGGTATCATCTTCAAGATTTGTTCTCCTGGTATACTTGACGTTAGAGAACTGGGTATTGAGCTTGCTGTTTAATTGGAAGGAAACTTAAGAGGTTCTGTGCTTGTTGAGTCCAACCATTTTGCGTTTATTGGTTGGATTTCTGCTCTTGCAGTCCGCTACCTTGAATTCTGTTATTTTGGTTGCAGAATTTCAGTTCAGTTGGGTACTTGGCCAGCCGGCGTGGTACTTTTCTTTTTTAATGTTTTTGGACGATCTCTCTCTCTCTCTCTCTCTCTCTCTCTCTCTCTAGTAAAATGGATGCTTGGAGTTATCCTTTTTGCTCTCCCTTTTTATAGAAAATTGTCAAATGGAAACTAAATTTCACCGTTTAGCCGGGCACCATATTCTATATGTGCATAGTGATATTATTGTTATTTTCATCTGGTAATTTTTTGCTGATTTCTAGCTCAGTAGGTTCTAGTTCAATCAACTGCTTTCCACTCAATTAATGGAAGGAGAACAATTACTTTATCACCTAAACAATTCATATGCACACTCATTCCCTCTAGCAGGAAAACAACCCTAATATTTTGTTAACTTCAACAACCTTCTTTGTTGAACTTTGTCCCCTTAACTACCATCTTCTTTGCTGTACCAATAGCTGGTTACAATAAGGGTGTGATAGTCTGGTAGAGGGATAGAAGAGATGAGGAGCCTCAAGAACCCTTCACTGATCGATCACACTCCTGTTGCATGCAATCCTTCCTCAAGAGGTATAAGAACCTTACTCATACCTCTTTACTAATAGTCAAAAAGGTAAGCAATACTAGTAGACATATCAGCAAGGGGTATGGTGACCTTCCCAATAGATATACAAGTCTAGTTGATATTATTACCATACTAAAGAAAGAACCAGCTTGCATAATTATTTTTCCTTGATTTCCTTTGATATGTTAGAGTTATAGAAAATCTTGTAATTCTCCCATCAGTGTATGCCATCTTCTAGCTTTTTGATGTTAAGGGAGAGAGTGGAATAGAAATTTAGTCACATGGCAGAAGATATGAGATGCTAATCTCTTTGTTTGCAGTATGGGAGGTATCAAAACAGGATTTTAGTAGAAGACCTCAACAGAAGATGGAAGCAGATCATGTTGAACACATCGGTACTTTTTCATAGAATTAGTGAATACAAAATCTTAAGCATGGTTTCTTTCATTTACATGGAGATTATTTATTGTTTTTTTTTTCATAAATTTACAGCCCATAACACCATTAGAGCACTGTGAGTGGCTGAACAAGTTTTTGATGGAGGTTTGGTCAAATTTCATTAACCCAAAACTTTCAAAAAGGTTCTCATCTATTGTTGAGGTCAGCACCCTACGACTTACTTGAATAGATGTTTCTTTTTTTCTTTTCATTGTTTACTGCTTTGATACATGGATACCTGTTTAATGGTGTCATATCATGTTGGGTACTTCAATTTTTAGTGCAAATTTTATATCTGCCACCTTTTCCAGCAGTGTCCTTGCCATATCCAGATAACAGTTTTTTACTGTGTGCAAAAAATATATATCCCAGCCTTAGTTCATCATGTACTGTCTCGTTTGGAAATGCATGTTGAGGGTACATGTGTAAAGGGTCTGTCCTGGGCCCTGAACGAATTCTGAGTCCAAAAAATAAGATAAAATAACTTTCTTGTCTAAAACATATTCTTTCATTATTTAAACATATTAATGCAATCAATATTTAAAAGTTCCCGGTCTTTTACTTATAAAAAAACATATTAATGCAATCAATAATTAAATGGATTTGTTTTTCTGATATAAAGAGCTACAAATTTCACAATATAAATTTTAAGTCATCAATTGTGCGAAATTTCTAAAAAATTAGTTTTTGCTTGGTGTTAATGATTAAAAACTCTGTAGTCAGTCATTGTTATTTGTAGGGACTGGTTTCACATATTGTGTTTTTTTCTCGTTTTTCTTTTAGGTAAAAGTAGAAATAGATTGTTGCTTTTCTGTTACCTTTTCCTTCCATGTATATTTTTGGAAGAGCTTAAAAAAGATATAATATCTATAGGTGTTTCTCATCATACCTTTTTAACATTCTGGTATGCAAACATAAACATGCTGGCGTTCTGGATGTTCAATTCTGTGAATGCTATTCCTCTTGAGAATCTCTTATTACAATCATGACCATAACAGAATGAAGCTAACTTTCCCTAAGCCCATAAATTTCTGTGGCATCTTGTGCATGTGATATTATATTTAGCCCTCCTTTTCCGGAGCCCTAGCAAACTCCCCCCCCCCCCCCCCCCCCCCACACACACACACACAAAAGAAAAGGAAAAAGAATGTAGTGTTAAAAAGAATTTTATCTTCTTCCTCACTTTATCTTACTAATAAATAGAAAAGGCCATCTATAACGGTTTTCTGATCAATGCATTCTATTATTTCTTGGGATTTTTCTCATGTTATTTCCAGTGGCATTATAATGTTAAATAATGATAAGGTCCTTGGTTGTTACACTTACATATGAATAGCTGATTTTTTTAAAACTTTATGTAAATGATTTACATCTTTAAAATAATGGCATAGTATCTGCTGTAAAAACTTTCTTCTACTGCAGTGTCTTATAAATCTCCTCCTCTCCTCTTATTTTCATTAAATTCCAACCAATATGGGTTCTAAGATATTTTAATTGGGAAATGAAATATATAAGAATGCTTGTAAATGCATGATTGGTATCACCCAAGGCTAAACTAGTAACAATTTTAAGGGGAAAAAATGAAAAGTAAATGCTGTTTTTGAGAGTTTAAACCCAAGGTTTAGGTTTGTGGGTTTAGGGAAAGGTGTAAGAAGGGTGGATGAGAGTTGATCAAAAGAGAACAAAAAAGTCAATATCTTAAGATTGCAGTTTAATTTAATTGAACTATTTTAGAGTAGTGTTTAGGGTGAAAAAATAAAGAGGGGGAAGATATTGATTAAAAAACTAAAGAGAGGAAGGTCCAGGGGAGGTGGATGAGGGTTTATCTAGGGTTAGAAAGCTGTGTGGTATGATTAGAAAGCTATTTTAAGGCTGAAATATCAGCATCTTGAGATTCGAATGGAATGTTTTAAACTATTTTAGAGGAGTGGTTTAGGGTGGTAAAGTAAAAAGGACAAAATACTGATAAAAAAACTAAATAAGGGACTGGAATGTTAATGGATTCTAAGGAGGGATGCAAGAAAGGACCATTTGGTGAAATGGGAGCATAGATGCAGATCAAAGGAACAAGGTGGGCTAGGTATCGGGAACCTAATTCAGAGGAACACAGCTTTACTAGGAAAATGGTTGTGGAGATTTCCACTAGAAAGTGATAGGTTATGACACAAGATGGTGTTTTGGAAAATGGCTGGGATGCAAAGGTGGTTACTCACTCTTCTCCAACCTCCCCTTGGAAAGCAATACATGAGGTACTTCCAACTTTTCTTAACTTTACTTGTTTTGAGGTGGGTTATGGTAATAAAATCTTGTTTTGTGAGGATTTTTGGATTGGTGATTCACCCCTCAGAACAATAGAGCATGGTTCTCATATCTTGATATTGAATAGTGTTTTTTCCCAATTTTTTGATGGCTATTAGTTTCTGAAGTGAAAAAACAACAAGAGAAGAGAAAGAGAAGAAGAAAAACTTAGAAGTCAGTCCTATGGTTCCAAAAATCTTTCTAGGGCTTTGGGAATCACTCACCAAAGCCACATACAACAGATAATGATCTCCAAAATTTAGTAGCCTTTTTTTTGCAACTTTATACATACTGTCTATGGGTAGCCTTACTAGGGGTGCAACTTAGGCCAGCTTATCCCAATCACAGCCCCAAAACAAGTTGGATTGGATTGAGTTGGGTTGAAGTTTGGGTTAAGGTTGAAAAATATGAACCCGACTTAACTTTGGTTTGGGTTAAGGTTGGGCCTTGGGCAATCCAACCCATGTCTTCATATTTGCATGTATAAATATGTATGTATGAAACTATGCATCCATGAATTTATCTGTACATATATAACCAGGCCAACATGAACCCAAACCAGAAAAGTCAGGTTGGGGGTTCAACAACTTGGTTGGGTTAGCGTTTACCTCAACCTGACCTAACCTGGCCCAACATGCACCCCTAAGCCTTACTAGAAATAAGAAAATAAGAATTTACAGAATTGCCACTGTCATTACTTTGACTCAGAGGTTATGTTCATATCCACTCTACCCCTCTCAAGACCTTAGATAGTAGGGACCATTATTTGATAATGGCCTTATACTTTTAAATTTTAAACCTTGTTAGACTATGATTAGAAAAATCAAACAACTAGTCTAGATCCCATTAGAAAACTTGTAAATGACCAAAGTGCCCCCTACTTAGCTCTTGCACTAGCCTACCATATATTATAACTGTTTTGAAGTGGTTGTATTACAACTACTGATGATCCTTTTACTTCATCCTGTGTCACAATAAAAAAAAGAAGATGGTGGATATTAGTGTTGGCTTCTTACTTTTTTCTCTTAAAGTTGTTTTGTACAAATGTAATTACAATGAGGGATTTTTTCAAGTTCTCGTGCATATGTCTATACATGGGTTTAAATTTTCTTCCTTGATTTGATAACATGCCTTAAAGTGTAAAATTTAGACTGAACCTTATGCAGATGCAAATTTGTATTGAACTGAGTGTGATTCTGAGTATTAATGGTTGCTCAGTTTCGCTTCTCTAATATATGACATGATGTAGTCATCTAAAATGTCAAGGCTATTAGCTGGCATGTTTTGTAAATGTTGCGCAATAAATAATAATCTTCACATATAGATGATATATAACATGAAGCAAATCCTTTTTATTTTACAGCATTATATTTATTTATTCAGTATAGCTAGATAATTTGTTTTTTTAATGCAGAAGCAGTTAAAGCACCGAAGACCAAGCCTTATTGTAAGTCTTTTATATGTAAATCTGTTGTTAGAAAAGATAATTGTGGATTAATTCCTTGGTGGTTAGTAATGCAATAATTGCATGAGGATAAAACTATTTGTGTTGTAGGATAAAATTGAATTGCTGGAGTTCTCATTAGGCTCATGCCCACCTAGCTTGGGTCTTCATGGGATTCGTTGGTCAACATCAGGCAACCAGGTCTTTTTCTGGTTTACTTATGAAAATTCGCAACTTTTTGAGATGTCATTGGGAACATTTGGTTTTTATATTAAAGTTATCAATCATCTTGCAACTAAACCTAATTGCATTATATTTGATTAGATATTTATTCTATTATCAATCATTTATGTTGTTTGGTGTGAATATCATGATACATATTCTTCTCTTGTACATTAGAATGACATGTTTATTAGGACACTATACCATGCTTCTACTTGTGTTTCATTGTGGATTAGAGAGTTAGTATTGTTGTGTAATTGGTCGATGTGAAAACTTATGCTAGATAATTCCATTCTTTTTATCTGCTTGTATTCATTAAAAATTTTCCTTTGAAAAGAATTTTAGTGCATAAATACATGGTTTTGTGAAGAAGTTCATTTGCATATCATGGTGGAAATGGAGCTGCTCTTTCTCTAGGTGTAGATAAGATAAGATGCTCCTTCCCAAATTCCTGTGGTTAACCTAAAAAAATGGATTCTTTTCGAAAATATCAAGAAAGTTCCATAAAAAGGAAAATATAACTGAAATATTTCAGACTTAAAACTTCTTCACCTCTTTTACATTGAAACAAATCAAGCCTTGGGGTCATAAGTTACTGAGTTGGAGAATTAAGTTCTCCCATTAGCCTTAGGAGTTCACTTGTTCAAAAATCACTACAGTTAAAATCTCAGCGACCTTGAATTGCATATACAGATAAGTTCTAAGGGAATTGAACCAGACAGCTGGTACGTTAGAAAAACCAGTAGTAAGGGCCTTTTTGTATAGTTGTAATACTTAATAATTTCTTGGGTGGATTCTTGGATTTTTGCTGTCACACATGTTTTGTTTATACACTCCTCCCTTTTATATTTGAAAGGAAAGTTACCTTTTCTCAATGAAGAAAAAGTGCATGACTCTTTAATTTTTAAATTTTAAATATAAAATTAAATATCAAACAATTCATAGCAGGGAGTTAGCTAAATATGGCAATCCTTTTATCATACAACAAAGGGTTTCAGCCATGAGCTGTGTTTGTACTGGTTCTCACTTCCCTATTCATGGCTAGTGAGATTTCCTTACTTCATTAATGAATTTTAATAGCGTTATTGATCAAAATAAGCATAGAAGCCCCTCTCTATTATTAATCATCATCTTCAGAACAAAAAATTATGTTAGAAGCAACGTATGAAGAAATTGAACATGTGTATACTTATACATGTATATATATATATATATATATATGTGTGTGTGTGTGTGTGTGTGTGTTTGTGTTCAATTAAACCTTCAACAAAGTTAAGGGCATTAAAACCATCCTTTTCATTTTCTCTTTTTACTGAAAAATAAAATAAAATAGGAAACCAAATATGAGATAAAAGAGAAAATAAGAAAATTTTGTAGAATGATGTACAAAATAAATGGGAAATTGTTATTATTTGCACCTATTTTTAATGATTATGAAAAAACAGATTGGATTGGATTCGGTAAAGGGTATATCTGATCCTGTTTGATAAGAAATCCGACCAATCCAAATTTGATAAGAATCTGTTGGATCTCCAAGATTATGATTCAAATTTGAATTATAATATCCTATCGGATATCCAACTCAATTTGGATTAGAGTAAAAAAACATGGTGATATAATATAAATAGTACATTATGTTATATTTATATATATATATATTTATATATATATATATATATATCCGAATCTGTCTCTTACTGAATTGAATTTGGATTCAAATTGGATCTGATCCAACTTATTTGCAGCCCTATTGAGAATGCTACTAAGCTTTCATGAAGTTGGAGTCAGAAATGATGGAAGAACTAAATTGGCATATGCAATTCTTCATTTACATTATTATATGGTGAAGATACTTAGATATTTCAATAATGTTTAGCTCCTTTCTTTTGTATGCTTAGAGTTTTGGTGGGATGATAAACTTATTTTGTTAAGCAATGGATTGTACGAGAAAAGGATCCATACACTTTGGGATCATGAGTAACCATTTCTTTGTGTATGTTGACAGAAAATTATGAATGTTGGTTTTGACTGGGAGACGAGTGACTTGAGCATCATGTTGCTTGCTAAGTTAGCAAAGCTGTTGGGAACTGCCCGGATTGTTATTAACAGCATGCTCATCAAGGGAAATGTATGTAAAGTACCTTTATTTCTCTTTTATACTTTCTTAGAAAAAATAACATGTTTCATAAAAGGGAAAAGAAATAACTGTGTCAGAGGAAAATAAGGAAAAAAATTGTGATTTTGATTTGGTTCTTTTATTAAAGTGCATAGTGTGAGATCCTTGTAATTTTTTATTCCAAGTTTATTTCTAAAATTTATGCACGCAGTTTACAAAAGTTTTGTTAGTCAGAAATTCAGAATGTTATTTTAGTCTTTGTAACTGTTATTTATTAGTATCCTATTTACTGTACACAGCTTCTCTTGATGCCAGTGCTGGATGGAAAAGCAGTTTTGTTCTCATTTGAATCAACTCCTGAAGTTAGAATAGGTGTTGCCTTTGGAAGTGGTGGAAGTCAAACACTTTCAGGAACAGTACTTCCGGGTGTTTCATCTTGGCTGGTATGTTTCTCCATAAGCATGGATTTGTAGGAAAGTATAATTACTAATGTGCCTTCCAAATAAAATTCAGCACTTCTTGTTTGGTACATGAATAAGTTTCTTTCACACAGGTTAAGCTTTTTACTGATACATTAGTCAAGACAATGGTTGAGCCTCGCCGACGATGTTTTTCTCTGCCATCAGTGGACTTACAGAAAAGGGCTGTTGAAGGCATACTTTCAGTAACAGTTATTTCAGCAAGTAAAGTGGGTGGAAATAGCTTGAAAGGAAGCCCTTCTGGAAGAAAACAAAACTCCATAAGAAATGGCACTTTAGAAGAGAACCCCGATAACAAGTTTCTGGAAACATTTGTGGAAGTTGAACTTGAAGAATTAACCAGGAGAACAGGTAAGAGTCCAGGCTCAAGTCCTAGATGGGATGCAACATTTAACATGGTTTTGCATGAAGATACAGGAACTCTTAGGTTCCATCTTTATGAATGTACCCCAAGCAGTGTGAAGTATGATTATCTTGCCAGTTGTGAAATTAAGGTACCTTTAACTGGAAGTCTGGAACTACTAATTTTTTGTTGTAATAGTTGTGCCAGATGTAATTTCATGGATTTTTTTTTCTTCAAAGTATGTTCTTTGTCCTTCCTTGGGATATTTCATCTGGATGCAAACAGCATATGTTTGACGGTTTTCCCTCGTGTGAGCAGATGAAATATGTTGCTGATGACTCCACAACTTTCTGGGCAATAGGACCTGAATCCACCATATTAGCTAGAAGTGTTGAGGGCTGTGGAAAAGAAGTTGAAATGGTAGTTCCATTTGAGGGAAATAATGTAGGAGAGGTAAATTCTTGAAAATTTCTACCATCTATTTCTGAATAAGTGTGATGAGACTGATTCCTCATCTTATGGTCCTGTATTACTTTTCTAAATCCCCTTTATGAACAGTAACCAGAATGTTGAAATGAAACATTGTGTTGTCCTGAAAGTATCTCCTAGTCACCAAGCCATCTTGAACAATAATTAGGAGCTTTTTCTTTTGTCCAAGAAAGGAATATTTTCTGAAAGGAACAAATCAAAACAGATTTAGTGTTAATTTTTAGTTTGACCTATTCCCATGGAAATTTAATTTCAGGAATACTTCCCAAAATGAACAATTCTTGTTAGTATTATATGTTGATACTGAATCTGTAGAAACATTACTACTGATGGAAACACAGTTTAGAGCTTGATTGTGATTATCAACGGGAAAGAAACACAAACAAGAAACAAGCTGAAATAGTTGGTTTAGAACCTTATTGGGGGACAAATGCTGATGCTTGAACTTACAATGTTTTAGTTTTGAGTTTTGATTCTTCCTGGGTAAATTTCAGTTTCAGCAATATTTCCAAAAGTTAAATCCTTACGAATATTGTATGTGGACATTGATCTGTAGAAGCAGATCTTGAAGTGTTGAATAGGTATACGAGGTTTAAGTTTTGATTGCAACATATAATTTATGGCAAGCTCAGAATTCAGATAATTGGATTGGAAAATGTTCGTGGGTAGGCAAACCACATACTTGAATTTTTAAGTTATGATGCTGTGAAGAAAAGCAGTACAAGATCTTTCTGTTGTACTGCACTAGGTTAATGTGTTTAGTGGACTTGGTATTTCCTTGCATTTGATCATATAAATGTTATAAAAACAGCATACTAGCGCATCTATTAACCAAGAACAATTAAGATATTTATCACCCAAGTTTTTGTGACTATTGCTTTCCCGATTTTATATAGAGGCCAAGATACTCTTTGTTTTCATCACAATCAAGACATGTTATTGGGTACTAACAAAACAGACAAATTTGCAGTTAACTGTGAAGCTGATATTGAAGGAATGGCAGTTTTCTGATGGGTCATATATCCTGAACAAATCTTCCCATTTTAGCACTCAACAATCTCTCTCATCAAGCATTGAATCACGGACAGGAAGGAAGCTAAATATCACTGTTGTAGAAGGAAAGGATTTTGTTGGAAAAGATAAGTTTGGCAAGTGTGACCCTTACGTGAAACTACAATATGGGAAGGTTGGTAATTCTCTTCCTAGCATTAAACTTTAAATTTCTTTACTCAATTTGATTATTTGTGGGCATATTATAATTACAATTGAGTAGAAGGGTCTGGGAGAATGATGATGACAGCTAAACACATTTTATCTGTAATTGGTGTTGGTTCACGTTACACTTTTTAGTAGACAATTGATAGTTTCTTTACTTTTGTTTTCAGGCCCTCCATAAGACAAGAACAATCCAACATTCCATGAATCCTATCTGGAATCAGAAGTTTGAATTTGATGAAATAGGAGGTGGTGAATATCTTAAGATAAAATGCTATTCTGAAGACACCTTTGGAGATGACAACATTGGAAGTGCACGAGTAAATTTGGAAGGACTGATTGAAGGCTCACTGAGGGATGTCTGGATACCCCTTGAAAAAGTAAATTCAGGAGAATTGAGGCTTCAAATAGAAGCAGTGAGAAATGATGATTATGATGGATCAAGGGTATGCTTTCAACTCAAGAGTCAAGAACTAAGCCATTTAACTAATAGTAAAATAGTAAAATACTGGATAAATAGCAAAAGGACCAGAAAAAAAAAAGACTATTTATAATCTATTGGTTTGCAGTTATGTATTAGATATATCATATATTGTGATTTTGTAGGCCATGAGTTGCCCCCATGCTGATATTTGTATTGTAATATTTTTCTCTTTGGTCTTTCAATATCTATACAGAGTGGCATGGCAGGATCAGGAAATGGTTGGATTGAACTAGTTCTGATTGAAGCAAGAGACCTCATTGCAGCAGATTTGAGAGGAACAAGTGATCCATATGTGAGGGTACACTATGGAAACTTGAAAAAAAGAACAAAGGTTAGAGACGTCTTGTTTAGACTTGAGTTATTTTTATTCCATAATTTGTTATGTTACATTGACTAATTGTGCTAGATTGCCAAGCATCATCTTGAAAATACATAGACAAATATATACATATGAATGTACATTCTTTTAAAATTTTCTTCTTTTTTTTCAATGATGATTAATAAGCTGATATAGGATAAACTGAGATGGAAAGTAATGGACAACTTTTTTGCCCGTTTGGATATCTTGAAATTACAATGGCAATCAGAACTTAGAAGAATAAAATTTGTGGTTCTTTCCATGTCATCTTTTCTTTCTCGTATTATCTCTTAGCATACTCTCCCTTCATGTGCATGCTATGCAGATTATGTTTAAAACATTGAATCCTCAATGGAATCAGACACTGGAGTTCCCTGATGATGGAAGTCCCTTAATGCTGTTTGTAAAAGATCATAATGCTGTCCTACCAACATCAAGTATAGGTGATTGTGTTGTAGAATATCAAGGATTGCCTCCAAACCAGATGGCTGACAAGTGGATACCTCTCCAAGGAGTAAAGAGGGGAGAGATCCATATACAAATAACAAGAAAAATTCCAGAGCTACAGAAAAGGTCTAGCTTAGATTCTCAGAGTTCAGACATTAGTAAGGCATATCAAATTTCTGCCCAGGTGAGTAACATGTGTCTCACTTTCAAGAAATTCCTCTTTATTTGGATATACCATTTTAAACATATAAGAGTACAATGTGCATGAAGATTGGTTGATTTCTGAGTGTTAAACAAGATATCTGTAAGAGAAATTAGAACTTCATATCAGTTAGAAGACATTCACAACTTGTAAACTCTAAACTAGAGTATGACATTGATATATGGAGTTGGTGAAACATTTTATTACCTGTCTAGTAGATATGTTAGCCTCTAACCCGATCACCATCTGATTGTGTTAGCCTCTTTTCTTTGTGAAGGGAGGAATAGTAGCCAATGATCCTAAAAGATATTGTATATGAAATGGGTGGTTTTGGAAAATATCTATTTTCTTTCATTTTCACTTAGGGTGTTGAATATCTTTTATAGGAAATTTCATAGATTCAAGGCCATAGAATGTTCAACCCCATTACCATGTGTACATGTGATATATACAGAACTGCTGCACCTAGATTATAAATATGATCCATTAGTCTATTTAGAACAGTTACTTGTTTGAATATGTCCATTATTTATAGGTCTCTTTGTCATTCATCATCTTATGCAGTTAGTGATGCCTCTTTTCTAAGAGACTGACCCACTCTGCAGATTTCAGTAGCGTAATGCATTTTCCTGAAATGATCATGAACAGGTAAGGCAAGCCATAACCAAGTTACAAACCTTAATTGAGGGTGGGGATACTGAAGCACTCTCACTGGCTTTGAGTGAGATAGAAAACCTTGAAGACGTGCAGGAGGAGTACATGCTGCAGCTTGAGACTGAGAGGACGCTGTTGCTTAATAAGATAAGCGAGTTTGGTCAGGAAATATATAAATGTTCACCTTCTCCTAACAAGAAAATTTATAGCAGTTGATCCCTTTGTTTTGTTCAAATGTATGATTAATAATCATTTGTATTCTATATATTGTAAATTTTCTAACATGCAGCCTTAAATGAAAAGAATAAGATTTCTTGATATAAGTTTCCCTATACTTAACATGAACTCTTCTGAGATATATACAGTAATACTCTCCAACAGAAATAATTACATATGCTGAAATTGGAATCTAGTAAATATTCTTTTTTTTCATCTTTTCTTTTCCTGCATCATTTCCGCGATGGTCTATGGAAGAAACTCTTCCCAGTAGCGGGGTACAACGTGGAAAAGAAGGATTGATTTGCAGCATGTCTCAGCCAACTTTTGTACCCGTATGTTGCAACCATTGCTGTCTAATTGTTTATGTCATTTCTCTTTTCCTTTTTTGTATTTCTCTTTTAACCTTGATGAATTTACTCAAGATGGCATAGAGAGTGCACGTGAGACCCACAGTTCTCATAACTCAGAAGGCTGTGTTTGGTTTGAAGGAAAAGGCAGGGAAAGGAAGGGAAAGTTGTATAGGTTTCTCTACCTTTCCCTGCCTTTTCCTTCAAATCAAACATAGCCTAAGGGAAATTTTGGCTGTCTACGTATGACAGTCGAGACCAGATCTCTTTGTCAGAGTGCATCTCACATGGACCTCACAGCCTCATCTCACTGAGTAATGGTAACGTCTCCCATCCTTTATGTTGTTATTCTTATTCAGCAGGAGATATTCTCAATACACAATGAGATGGGGCTGTGAGGTCTGTGTGAGGTGCGCTCTGTGAAGAGCAGATTTCATTTCATGACAGTTTCTGCTGTCCAGTGTTTACAGGGCTCTCCTTGCTTGACATGTGTCCATATAAACTTCATGTAGCAATAACAGTGCTGAATGCATGATTTATGGACTAAAGAGAATGTGTAGATTTCGAGGTACAATGTTTGCCAGTGGCAAAATTTTCGCATTGTGAGTTTTGGAAGGAAAATCCTCGATTGTAATTCTTATTTATTGAATAATTGAATGCAAATTCTCTGTTTCTTTGAGCAAAAAATGATTTCTAGGAACAAATATGTTCCTCTCCTTGATCATAAGTTCATAAGGGTTGTTTTTGAGAGTTCGGATCTGTTCCTCAGAGAGGGCGCCTCACCAACTTTACAGCACGTTTAAGTCATGTATTGATTTTACCATGAATAAATATTTTGAAGTACGGAGATGTTCCAGATGTACAGATAAACGTGGTGTGAGATCGGCCCGAGGCACACTTTGTGAGGAACAGATCGGAACTCTGTTTTTGATACCATTGTTGGTTGTTTGGGGTTAATCAATATATATTGGCGAGGTACATTTTTTTATTTGTAATGTTCTAGGTTGATAATACAAATTGTTATTTTTACTTGAAACGTCATGTTTATATAAATGATTTTTCTAGCTGAAGTGACTGATATGATGTGATAATACATCTCAACAATTTGTATTAATAAACCCAAAACGTTTTAGTACAAACCGCAATGGTATCAAACAAAACCTAGGACATTGACTCTCTTGGTTTGGCATGATTATTCGAATTGGGATTAGCTGAAGGGATGGTTGTTCAGCGGACTGTGGAAACAATGATAGTGTTCCATGCATGTAAGAAATTCATAGGCTCCACTATGAAAAGTGCGGATCCCTTATATTTTGAATTCGGATTAGCTGAATCAATAGGGTGTGGAACCAGTGAGGAGGTTTCACGCCAATAATAAATTCATGGGCCCCACCGTAAAAGGTGTGGGCGTTAAGGTATTTAAATTCTGGTGTGGAACCTTATCATTCGTTCCATAGTCTGCTGAACAGCTATCATGTTCAGCCAAACCTTGCTCTTGTATTTTATTACTGGCGTGGAACACTATCATTGGTTTCACTATCCGTTGAACAGTTATCACACTCAACTAACCCTTGCTCTGATTATTCCTAGCATGGTCCAGCCAAGCTCAAAAATTGTCAAGATTAGGCCTACATTACAGGGCCCAGGTCTAACATATTTTTAGAATTTAAGGCTTAGTTTGGAAGGAGTATGAATACAAATATGTAGAATGCAAAACCTTGTATTTTGTATGTATTTGTACTGCACATATTTATATTTATACTGTACAAATACAAATATATAGAGTGCAAATCCTTATATTTTGTATTCCTAAACCGAGCCCAAAGCCCAAATCCCTGGCCTGGGCCTATGCAAGGCCGGGTTTGGGCATATATGGCTTAGATTAAGCCCCTTGTCCTAGGTGTTAACCCACCCCAGCCTGATCCATGATCATCCATGTATCTATATGGGCAGCTTCCACCATGTCCATGATCTCCCCTGTTTGGAACTTGGATGGTTGGACCCCTGCCCTGATTATTAGCTAACCAGCGTAAATGATGTTTGTTCGAGCATATGTGGTAGGGGTGAGCAAATGGGTAGGTTCTACTTGGAATCAAATGGAACTGACCTCGAATCGGCTTTGAACCAATCCTACTTAATCTGTTACAGGGTAGGGTTTGGCTCCAAATTCTTGGAACCGATCCCCACCCAAGTCAATTCCAAGGTCTAGGGATTTGCCCTACCTAAACTAACCCGATGAACTAACCTTGGTTGGCCTTGGTAGAACCGAACTTGCCTTTAAATAAACTCCAAAATAGTTATTAAAGATTTAAAGATTTGAGTTCAAGCGCTCATGATTACAAAAGCCATGGTCTCACTTGACCGTCGAATTACTTAAGTGATTTAATCATTTGTTTTTATTTTAATATTTAATTGTATGTATATAATAAATAATGTAAAAGGTAATATTTATAAAATTTAAATCATAATGATAAATTTTCAACCGTATATTAATATATTTTCTTGAATGGAAGATTAAAGAAAAACAAATTCCATCGGTATACCATGAAATTGGCCAGAATCGACGCTCAAAGTAGGTTTCGGTTTCAAACATCTAAAAGCGACCCAAGATAGGTTTCAGCTTTCCGCAACCGAACCGAATCGACCCATACTGTGGTATTGGCGCATATGGTTCTTTTCGTAATTTTGCATACTCAAAAAACACGAAATGCCGCACATGGGCGGCTTTCAGATTCTGGTTCCACCATGGATCCGTACCAACTTGCAATGTAACGGTAGCCGTAAAAGTTTGGATTTTATAAGGGCAATTTTTGGGATTTAATATCAATAAAGATAATATATTTAAAAAAATTTTAAAAATAGATTAATTTTTTTAAAATAATATAATAAAGGTCAAAAGCAATGTTCAATTTTTGGGATTTAATATCAATAAAGATAATATATTTAAAAAAATTTTAAAAATAGATTAATTTTTTTAAAATAATATAATAAAGGTCAAAAGCAATATTCATCTTCTTCTTTTTGCATTTGTTCATCAAACCAGCCGTCCGCCGCCGCCCGCCACTGCCGGCCGCTGCCGCCGTCTCCGCCTCCGCCTCCGCCTCCGGCAACGTTGCCGGAGATATGCGGCGGCGGCGCTGATAGTTTCTCTGTCCAACGCCACCACTTCCGCCTCCGCCTTCGATAATATTGCCGGAGATGGGTGGAGACAGAGGTGGCGGTGGCGGCGGGAAAGGAATGACCACCAGCGCCGCCACCGCCACCTCTGCCTCCGGTTATCTCTGGCAACGTTACCGAAGGCGGAGGCAAAGGGGGCGGAGGCAGCGGACGGCGGTGGCGAGTGGTGGCGGGCGGCGGCTCTGTAAACAAATGACAAGAAGAAAATGAACAGTATTTTTTTCTCTTTATTTATATTATTTTTAAAAAATTAATCTATTTTTTAAATATATTACTTTTATTGATATTAAATCCCAAAAGTTGCCCTATTACCCTTAAAAGTTTTTTCTCTGTCTGAACTCTGAATCTCCGAAGACGAAGAGAATTAAAAGCATCAACAAGCCTGAGAACGCGGACAAATCATCTTTATGCACGGCTTTTTTGGCACTCTCAGACATGGAACTCTCTCTCACCTTCCAATACCAACCACCAAAACTACCTCAGTTTCGCCGGAGCTCTCATTATTTGATCGGAGATACAAGAATTTGTCAAGTGTCCAATTTTTCTCGACGAGCGAGTAGAAATTTAACGGTTTTGACTCCAAAGACTTGCGGAGCGATCGTTGCGAAGAAGAAATCGACGATCGAAAGCTTGAGTGAGGAGATGAACTCAATTGCCTCGCAGAATATGGACTTTGCACCTGCTCGTCGTCGGGTTCGATCAGCTTTCATGGATGTGCAGCAAAAGCTCGACCACATCTTGTTTAAGGTCGTTTGATTTGGTTACATTCTTTAGAATCTTCTGTTATGCCTCTTGACTGTAGTTTCGTTAGATTGTTAGAATTATCTTGAACTGATCATTTTTGTACCCCTTTTTATACTTCTTATGAATTGGTGGGTAGACGGTTCCACCTGGGATAAGGACAGAGGAGGTAAGAAATGCTGCTTTTTGCAACTACCATATGGTTGTTCTCTTAAATTGGAACAACTTCGATTCAATTAGATGGTTGCTTTTTGGGCTGGTATAGTGGTATGAACGAAACTCAAGAGGCCTGGAAATTTTCTGCAAGAGCTGGTTGCCCAAGGAGAGTGTTCAAATTAAGGGTGCTCTTTTTTTCTGCCACGGATATGGTAGTACTTGCACATTCTTCTTCGAGGGTTCGTGATTCTATCTCTTTCTGCATTGCGTCATTGAATCCTCTCTAGTACTTCTGAGATTTAAGAATTAATTGACGTCTTATATGAGTTGAGATGTATAAGAAATTCAGAGTTTCAGGGATTGCAAAGAGAATCGCTTCTTCTGGGTATGGAGTTTATGCACTGGACTACCCGGGCTTCGGCCTCTCTGAAGGACTGCATGGTTATATCCCAGATTTTGACGAATTAGTGGATGATGTCATTGAACGTTACAGAAACATCAAAGGTATATTAATCAAGCTACAATTTTTTTCTTCATTAGTCTCATTATCGCAATCATATTCATGTTATTACAGCCACAAATGTGGGTGTTGTCACACTATTTTGATAGGTTTACTCAGCTGCTGAAGATTAGAATTGATTGTATTTTTTTTTATTCTACAACTGACAGGAAGGCCAGAATTGAATGGGTTGCCTCACTTCATCTTGGGACAGTCCATGGGAGGAGCTGTTTCTCTCAAGGTTCATCTGAAGCAACCAGATGAATGGGATGGAGTTGTTCTTGTTGCCCCAATGTGCAAAGTAAGCTCATCAGTGCTCGTAGTACATGTTTGCTTAATGGTTATAAATTATAATAGAACCTTCCTTTTTTTATTCGGTGGACAAGTATCTTTATTTTAGGGTAAATTACAGAGAGCCACCTTATACTTTGGGGGTAGTGACACTTAGC